GATTGTCGCCTCACCGCACAGGCTCCATAGGAAATGAATGGAGAGCGAGTGACGTCGCCTCCCGTGTGTCGAGCCCTTAATGCTTCATATAATCAACCATCAGTTTTACACTTGTACTCTGCTCATGATGTTTTGTAGTCTTTTTTTTAAAAACAAGAAGCATGCTTTCCTCCTTCTGCCTGTCGTGTTACATTTTGAGTGAAGTCAGTGTGTTTGCAGCAAGTAAAGTTGTTTTGGCTTTATGCACATGAACTCCATTGTTCACTGGTGCAGATTACAACCTTTTTACATGGACGTAAGCATGAAAAAAAGAAACAACATGGAGTGATAACATTATGCAAAAAATGCTTTGCATTTTTAATATGACTGTTGAGAAACAAAACAATGACATGCATTATCCAATTATCCCAACAAAACGTGATGGCGCCCAAAGACCCATTATACCTAAAAACCCATCCCTGAAAGCCTGATCCTGCATGAGGAACTCAGGGTTCAGTGTTTGTCAGTGATTGTGAGGAGTGTGTGCAAAAGAGCAAAAATATGTCAACTCTGAAGGCTGAAAGTGCAACACAAAACTTCTGAAGCCAAAACAGAAAATGTGACATGCAAATGAAAAATAGCAGCGATACGTGAAAATGTAAATACATGTTAATGAACCATGTGTTCTGTGTTGTCTGGTCTAATTAATTAGCCTTGTGAAGCTAGAAGCCTTCTGGTCTGGTGAAAACTGGTTCAGTTGCAATTACAGTGAAGCAAAATGTATCAGAATGAAAGTTTTTTTTTTCTTAGTGAGTGAATTAAATTAGAAATTGGACTTTCTATTTACAAGGCCATCGTTGGGTTTTTGATTTAATTAAAAAACTACTTTCAATCACATTTTTTTTCTCAAACATTTAGTCAACATTTAAACAACTTTAGAAAAGAATCAAATGAAAAATATACTGCAGAGACATTTGAATATGCATTGTCTACATCAGAGGTTCTCAAACTGGGGTTCCAGGAACCCCAGGGGTCTGCAAGCCATGTCTTGGGGGTCCTCAAAAAAATTAGATAAATTAACTTTTTCTATATTTAAAAAATGCATATGCATTTTTTAAATATAGAAAAWGTTAATTTATTTATTTATTTGGAGGATAATGCACAAATAAAATAAACATACTAAACCAAACAATAAATACTATCAACATGGTATTTAGGGGTTAAAATTACAGTAAATTATTTTGCATTAATAGCATGGGGATTATGAGGGGGTCCCTGGATTTTTTTTCACCCTTGTAAGGGGCCCCCAGACCCAAAAAGTTTGAGAACGCCTGGTCTACATAATATAGGCTTTATTAAAAACAAGTACAGAAGTGGAAATTTCTTTTTAATACTGACCTTTTCCTCAGATGTATCTTGTCTTGTTCTGTGACTGTWTGCATGTGTTTGACAGTAAAATCCATCCACGATAAAGCTACAGATGATTAGCTTGATGAAAGTCTGATTAAAAGGCAGCACATTCAAGGCTGCACATTTAAGCAGTAAATAAGTCAGCCTCTCTCCTGCTCACCCACCCACCTCCTGTCGTCAGCGTCAAAACATTTGTCAAGGTGAAGTGTTTGCACTCTGCTGTTGTTTAATATCGACTGAAAGGAGGCTTCTGTCTCTGCTAAGCGCCGTTTCCATTGTATACTTGTTTGCCCATTAGCATTCAGAGTGGGTAAAAATGACTTGACCTTCTCTTGCGAGTGGGGAAACGTGAAATTTTAATTGACTTCTTTCTCCATTCTCCGTCTTCCTTATCAGCGCAATATATGAATAACCTCATCTCACACTCTGGTAAAAACGGCTGTGATCTTTATTGTGCCAGTGTGACAGATACGTCTCTTTGTTCCAGCTACACCGTCTCATCTGTTCCCACACATTTTACCGTTCAAGAATAATATTTAAACAGAGTTATGGAACATTTCTAATTGGCTTGTTCATCCTTTTGATGGCTATGCACGCACACAGTTTTGTCAGTGCAGCAGCATAAATGGAAGCCAGTGTCGGCGCTGTTTTCAAAGTCAGTTTCAGTGTGTGATGAACTGCAGACAAATGACAGAAATATAAAACAGATGGTAAGCTCAAAGAAATTTGATTAAAAAAATTATTGTAACTTTATGGTGTTTTTGTATGTTTAAAATTAAATGTTTAAAATGACTACTTTTTATTATTTTCCTCACTTTTATAATCCTAGCATTAGCTAATCAAGGTGATGTCATCATCCTGCGACAAATGTCATTACTAACTGCTGCTAGCCACTGCTGATAACGCTGCTAAATGGTATTTAAAACCTAAATCCAAAATGTGTTCATTGAAAACAACATGGATGGTACTTGTGGTGCGGCAGTTTTAAGTGCAGCTCAGACACYGGCCRCAACTGCAAGTTTGATGCCTTGTAGGGAAGAATTAGCTGCGTCAAAATGTTAGCGGTTCCTACTGTCTCAGGATGATGACATCCTAGCAAGAGCCGAGCACCAACGGCAGAGACTGTGTTGCATTCATGTAAATTTAAACATTTCATTTTACATTTAGATCTACACATTTAGGTCTAGGGTTTGTTATTAACATGCATTATTTAAAATTTAAATGGAACATTTGGTAAAAATTAGCTACATGTGACAACAGTGAACTACATAAGATTGTGGAATAATCTGGAAAGTGATTATAAAAATGTTGGTTCAATGTGTTTGTTTAAGAGTGATTAAAATAAGTTTGTTAAAGAAATATGAAACTGTATAATGAATATCAAAAGCTGTTGTTTGAAAACGAATTGAAGTTTTTATTTTGTTTTATTTTTTGAATCTTATTGTTTGAAATTAATTTGGGACAAGGGGGCAGATATAAGATTTTTTTTCTTCTTTCTGCCTCCTTTCATTTCAAGTGTGATTTTTTTCTTTGTCTATATTTTTTTKATTTTTATATGAAATGAATAAATTAATTAATTAAATAAACAATAAAATGTTAGAGGAGATTTTTAACTAGGATTTTGAGCTAAATAATTAGTGACATGTTTTTTTACTTTTTTATTTTATGTTTGGCACCCCATATTTTTGTGGCTTTTCTTGATTGATCTTTTTTTGTTATGCTAGCTTTACAGATGAGCTAAAGTTTGCTAAAGTGGTAGTAGCTGCGAGTCTTTCCCAACACATCCATTGAATGTGACATTTCCTTATATTGGAAGACACTGTGCATTAAAGTTTGACCAAAAAGGCTGTTTAGTTTTTGTTTAATTTCAGTGATGACAAGCAATATGCAAGGAATTGAACACCATTAGTTCTAACTGTTTGTCAACAAGCATGGTCACCAAAAGAACCACTGTGGGACCCTCAAAACACAAACCTAAAAACGTAACACCTGCCTATTTATCTTGATTTCAATGAATGGCGCTGTCCTTCACCATTGGTACTGTTCAGCTGAACTGACAAGAATTGATTCCACTAAACATGACTATTCTGAGGAAGTATATCGAGTGGCTGTGGCCATGAGGTTTTAGGACAGCATGGAGTCATTAGTCTTTTGGGTACTTCAGCACAGACAACCACACTCATTCTACAATCTGATTTAACATTGATTTCCTTAAAGACTGTCTGCAGCATGATTCACAGACACTCAATACTCACACGCATTTCCTGCTTGAACCGTATGTTTTGTTAACTTTGTGGAAAATATTTAGCCTATTTGTATGATTCATGTTTTACTCCATAAACCAGAGAGTTTGTATTTCCAATGCTGTATCAACAACACATCTTCCGATGTACAAAGCATAMAAATTTCATTGTATAACCAAAGCCGTGCATCTACAGTATCTAGGATGCGTCCTGGGTGCCCCCTTCTGGAGGTTTTCCAGGCACATTCCACCGGGAGGAGACCCTGTTGAAGACCCAAAACTTCCTGAAAGCATTGTCTCTGGCCTTGGAACACATTTGGATAAATCCAGGCAGCGCTGGAGAGTGTTACTGTGATATTTTGCTTCCCTCCTGGTCTTTTTGCCTCCGTGACCCAAGCAAGGATAAACAGCAGAAAATGGGTAGATGAACAAAGTTCACTGCAATATAACTGTTGCATTATGGTCAGTAGGTTACGTAGAGTCCACTTGTGGCCTCAAGGCTCAATGGTTTAGGGTCAARGTTGTGAAGTCATTTTTTCATGCTTGTATGTCTTCATGTTCGAGTTTTGTCAAGAACAAACTTTGCGTTAATGCTAAGCCGGTACAGTATTTAGTTTGTTTCCCTCTGCAGTTTCAACACAGACAAATGAGTCACTGTCTGGTTCTGAGCTTATCTGTTTTAATAGGCACCACTTGACAAAAACCCAAACAAATCTGACCTCAATGCCACCCACTTGCATCTCAAATGTAATCAAAATTCAGTCCATTATTTCTGTGCATTATCCATTAGCAAGGTTGCTATTGATTAATSTTGCAACCTTTTCAAATTAGCAGAGATTTTAGAGTAAAGTTTAGATTCGTTGTGAATAATGCAGCTTTTCTTCTCTCTCATTTTGAACTCAAGTTAAACTGAAGTGGGCCTTAAAGGCAGAGACAGAGGTGTACTGAGACATGTTATGCCTCTTAGATTTAGTTTAGTAAAACTATTTTTATGTACTTTATTTCTCTTTCTGTGTGATCATCCTCAGATGTTTTATTTATTGCACCTCCTCTTGATGTCTTCTTGAAGATAATCCTTGTTCTGTGCAGGGTCTGTGGCTGCATTACCCAGAGCACCTTTTCTCCTATGTTTGTTATGTTCTGTCGTCTTCTGAATGGGTGTTCTGAACTGTAATCTCATTGTGCTCTGTACAATGACAATAAAGGCTATCGTATCATATCGTCTTATCGTATCGTCTTATCATATCGTATCGTCTTATCGTATCATATCTTCTTATCGTATCATATTGTATCATTTCTCATCTTATCGTATCATTTCTTATCTTTTCTTATCTTTTCTTTTCTTAATTATTTTTTCTGTGTTTTGCAGGAATGTAAGCTCAGCAGGTGAAGAGGCGAGACGAAGGATGCGGGAGTGTGATGGCCTTACGGATGCTCTGCTCTACGTCATCCAGACTTCTCTGGGTAGCACTGAGATCGACAGCAAGGTATGCAGCAGAGACACTCTGTGTACCCAAAGTGTGTGTTCTTAAATTAAAATGTAGAGCTGAGGAGCAAAATTATTCTATAATATGTTCCAGAATACACACACACATAGGAGACAAAGAAATACTTAAAAGAAGATCCCTTTTTTCCCATTCTCAAAAAATAAAAAAGGTTTTACAGTTTTGTGTTTATTGTGCTTCCTCCTGTGTGAGGCTACGTTCTTGTTAGTGTGTAGTTGTTACAGTGTGCATGGACCAGTCAGTGTGAAAAAAGAAAAAAAAATCTATTGTAGATGACTGACTTCTCAAGGTCTCCCYATCTCCCAGCCTTTTTAAATGGCCRTCTTTAATCACTGTTTAAGCATCCTCCCTTCGCCACGGTTTGACTGCACTCGCCAGAGGAACGTTGTTGCCACAGTAACGAAGACTGATTGGCGGCTGAACCACCAAATAGTCACTGCCGTAGTAAAGATCCACGTTATCTATGAGCCCAATTTGCACGGCGCCTTCCATTCCTCGCTTTCATTTCTCACTTCAGCATCCTTTCTTCATACTCCTGGCTTCTCTGTGTRTTTACTTGGAGCTGTCCTCATTAAAAAGTAAAACCAATTTTTTTTAAATAAAATACAGCGGGTAAAATAAGTATTGAACACGTCACCATTTTTCTCAGTAAATATATTACTAGAGGTGCTAATGACATGAAATTTTCACCAGATGTCGGTAACAACTAGGGGTGTCCCGATACCAGTTTTTTCAAGACTGAGTACAAATACGAGTACTTGAGTTTGGGTA